TGGCTTGACACCTGCTGTCCCCTGCTGTCCCCTCTGCTGGGCTGTCCTCCTGTCCACGCCGGTGGCACCTCCTCTTCTGTGCGCATGGCTTCAAACACTGGCAAACATGCATTACTGCACTGTCTCTGTAGCTCAAGAAAGCCTCCTGGCTCTGCCTTCTACGGAACGGAGGGGCTCTCGGCCCCTCTACGCCACCACCCAAGACAGAAGCAGGTCCCTGCTGAGGAGGGACCCACTTGGGAAGGGCCTGGGTGGACCTGAGGCCAGGGCTGTGTGTGCTCACGCCGCTGGTGACCTGCTCTGTCTGCCCTTGACCACGGGGTCAGGAATTCCATGGAGGTCTGAGCAAGAGTTGGGTGGCTGCTCATCCGCTCACTCATTCACTCATCCTTCCTTCCACTCACTCCATCTGTAATGATACGCTGGCCCTGCGAGAGACAGTTGAGACATGAACCAGCCAACCCCTGAGATGTCACCATCCCAGACACTGGCAGCGCGAGGGAGGGGCAGGGCGTTTCTTCAGGTCGGGGCCCCTCTCTGAGGAGGGGGTGTTTGAGTGACAACCAAAAGGGCCAGGAGCCAGCCACCCAAGACCGGGGCGGGGGGGGGGGTAGCCCCCAAGATGCAGCATTTTGAGAGGCAGACAGAACATCTTGGAGAACAGAGGAGGGGATGGCGAGGAACCCCAACAAGGCAGAGTTCTCAGGCTTGAGGTTCATTGAGTCGAAGACTCCATTCAGGCACACCAAGCAAGTGGCTGGGCTGCTGATGCTCCAGGCTGCGGGGGGAGGGGGGGGATCCAAGGCCAGTGCTTCCCACAGGGCCTCTGGGTGGCACCACTCAGGGAGAAGGTTCTGGCATCTCAAGCCCATGGCCCAGGCACAAGGCTCGCCACCAACCCCTTCCCTGTCCCATGCCAGGCCCTGGGAAAAGCAAAGCTGGGGCAGTTTTGCCCCTTCTGCCCCTCTTGGTGGCCCTGTCCTTCACCAACCCCCCCCCCCCAACCCTGATCTCTGGACAGAGACTGCGCAATGGCCTCTGGGAACAGAAGGAAGGCTGATCCTGGCTCTCGGGTTTGGACACTGATGCGTGGAGCCAGCAGAGACCCATGGACACCAGAGAGGAAGCCCGGGGATCTGCGGCAGAGCCTCTCAGAGGCCCTGGAAGGCCAGGCCTGCATGGACAGAAGCACATCAGCCCTGCTATTCAAACCAAACCAAACAGCCAGGCATCGCGACTCACACCTACAGTACCAGTGACTTAGACGGCTGAGATAGGAGAATCACAGCTCACAGCCAGCCTGAGCAGACACACTCCTAGCGCTGGAAGTGGAGGCTTGGCTCAAACGGTAGAGAGCCAGCCTTGAGTGAAAAAGTCAAATGAGAACCTGAGGGGCCTTGAGTTCAAGCCCCAGTAGAGGTGTGCGTGCGCACACACACACACACACACACACACACACATACACACCTGGGCTCACATTCTGAGTCCCCTCTGTGCAAGCTTGGGCCCTCAACCCCCTTCAAGTCCTGCTTCCTCGTGGAAAATGGAGATGCCACGTGGGTCACTGCCCATGGTTAGAGATGAGACTGGAAAAGGCAAATATGGAGTAAGTGCCTGGTGCTCCACCTAATCCACCAGCCCCACCCTACCCTTCCTGTGTCACTCACCAGCTGTGTGTCACCTGACCTGGCAAAGGGCGCTCTCTCTCCCCCTCTCCCTTTCCCTCTCCCTCCCCCCCTCTCTCCGGCTTTCATAGCATTTGGGATTTGGGGAGGATTGAATTTCATGTCTAGAACACATTTTGGTGGTGGTGGTGCTGGTCATGGGGCTTGAACTCAGGGCCTGGGAGCTGTCTTTGAGCTCTTTGGTTCAAGGCTAGTGCTCTCCCACTTTGTGCCACAGGGCCACTTCCATTTACTGTGAGCCTCAGATCTCAGCCTCCTAATTAGCTAGGATTACAGGCGTGAGCCGCTGGCGCAGGGCAATTGAATACATTTTCATGCCAAGAGGTACTAAGACCCACGGTCAAAGGCAAAGGCGAGCTCTTGTCTGGATTCAGCCCCAGCTGAGGCGAGGCTCCCAGCCAGCGCTCCTGCGCTGCCACCCCCGGCCGGGCAACCGTGTGTCCCCTGCGGCTCCCAGGGCTCCTCTCACAACCAGCAGAAGAGCTGAGTGGCTTCTGACGGCCCTTCCTAGTGTGGCATGGACCAGTTCAGAGTTTCTGTGCCTTGGGCCATCTCTTAGAAGCCGCCAGACAAGATGAGATGAACGAATGAATGAATGAACAAATGAACAAGTGCAAGCCTGAATAAGCACGCCTCAAGGCTCCACGGCAGCCAACAGGTCTGGTCTCGCTCGGAGCCAGGCCCCAGCCTGCTTGATTCTCCCGGGCCAGCAGCCCAGGCCCACCTGGCCCCTGGCATCACGCACGGGCGTCGATTCCAATCGCCCCATCCATCACCCCGGGCCTGCTCCTCTCCTTCAAGAACATTAAGGAGCAAATGTATCATGGATGACGAGAGACCCAATAAAGCAAGCGCCGCGAGAAATTTCGTATTCAACTCGTAAAGGCCTTAAAAGCACTTTTCAATTATGGATGGCCTGGGGGAGTCGTTCCCTCTGCGTCGGGGGAGGGATAAAGATGGAAAATAATAGCATATCAATATTGTTGCAACTTCTCGGGATTAATCTGGAAGAGTTCGCATCCGTGAGTCCCCACGTGCTCAGGTACGCTGGGAAGGGTTTGACCCCAGCAACCTTCACCAGAACTGCCGTGGAGGGCAGCTCCCAAGGCCTCAGCCTCACCCCACACCATTCCTCCCCCCCAGATCTAAGCCGGGCTCCTGGGCCACTTGAAGGTGACTGGGGCGATGTTTACGCATGTGACAAAAAGGCACAGATTTATACACACCCCCGGGAATGTGCATATGTGAGCCTGGAGAAGCTACTGGAGTTTGAACTCAGGGTTTTGCACGTGCAAGGCAGGTGCTCTGCCACTTGAGCCAGGCCTCCAGTCCTTTTGATTCTATAAGCTAGGGTCTCGGTTTTGCCTGAGCTGTCCTGGACTGTGATCCCCCTATTTATGATGCCTGTGTAGCTGGGATATGAGGCAGGCAGGCACCGCTGGGCTCAGCTTGTCTGCAATGAGGCCTTAGAAAACTTGGCAAACTGAGGTCCTCCCAATCCCTCCCTTCCAAGAAGCTGGGATTCCAGGTGTGAACCGCCACCACTCAAGCTTACATTTGTAGATGATTTCTGCAACTTCTTGTGAATTTCAAAAGAAGGGATCGTCATAAAAAATACAATTTTAAAAACATAAAGCACTGCTTGTGGGTTTTGTTGGTTTGTTACTTGAAATATAGGGGATGGAACCCAAGACCTTGAATTGCTAGAAATCGACCTTGAATTGCTAAAAATCGACCTTGAATTGTTCTACCGCTGAGCTATATGCCTGGCCCTGAAACTTTTCAAGTCTAAGTAGGTACAATTCTGAATTACCCAGTGTGACAGACTGAATAAGGTTGCTAACCAGTTGGCCTTAAAGTGCAGAGATTCTCCTGGGTCACCTGCAGGTACAATGTGGTCACAGATCCTTCATGGACTGAAGAAGAAGGCAGAAAGGACAGTCAGAGATCTGAAGATGCTACCACATTGGCTTTCAAGATGGAGGAAGGAGCCGGGTGCTGGTAGCTCACCCCTGTAATCCTAGCTACTCAGGAAGCTGAGATCTGAGGATCATGGTTCTTGCTTGGACTGGCAAGAAAGTCTGTGAGGCTCTTACCTCCAGTTAACCACCAAAAAGCTGAAAGTGGCTCTGTGGCTCAAGCGGAAGCTCAAGCCCAGGACTGGAAAAGTAAAATGAAACATAGGAAACTTCCAGAATTTAGGAAAAGCAAAGAAATAGACCCTTTCCTAAAGCTTCCAAAATGCCTTGATGTTAGTCCAATGAGATCCATTTTGGACTTCTAAGCTCTCTTCCTCCAGTTTTTGGTGATACTGAGGGCCTCATGTTTGCTATGCAAGTGCATAGCACTTATCACTCGAGCCTCATCCCCAACCTCTGTTTTAGATGTATATTACTAGAACTATTAGATGATACATGTGTTTCTTAAGTCTCTAAGCATGTGACAATTTTTATAGGACCAATAGGAAACTAATATGCCTAGGAGACAATATTTTGGATGACACATGCACGCCCTCTTAGATTTAGAGTATCCTTGGTAAAGAAGATCTTTGGGTCATGCCTATAATCCTAGATAGGAGGCTGAGATCTGAGGATTGTAGTTCAAGGCCAACCTGGGGCAAGAAAGTCCATGAGACTCTTATCTCCAATTAACTACCCAAAAGCCAGAAGTGGTGCTGTGGCTCAAAGTAGTAGAGTACTAGCTTTGAGCACAAAAGCTCAGGGACAATGCCCAGGCCCTGAGTGCAAGCCTCAGGACCAACACAAAAAACAAAAACAAAAAAGATCTTTGGTTTGCAGGAGACACTGCTGTGGTATGGAGATGCATTCTAGAATGCTATGGGGCATATTATTTTTTTTAAGAATCCAACTAGAAATGATGTAAAGATCTATCAATGGGAGATGGATAAATTCATTGTGAAGTATTGCTGTGGTAAAACACATCAGTGAAGATACATGACGGCCAGTCACGGGGGCTCACGTCTGTCATCCTAGCTACTCAGACGGCTGAGATCAGAGGATTGAGCCCTGAAGCCATCCCAGGCCAGAAAGGTCTGAGAGACTCTTATCTTCAATCAACCAGCAAAAAGGTGGAAGTGAGTGGAGCTGTGGCTTAAGCGACAGCACCAGCCTTTAGCAGAAAAGCTAAGAAAGAATATGAGGCCCTGAGTTCAAGTCCCAGCCCCAGTACTAGCACACACACACACACACACACACACACACACACTGAATTAATTCTTAAAATTAAGATACTATGTCAAGTGTTACACTAATAAAATTTGATAATTTAATAATTTAGATGAACTGGAAAAACTCAAACAATTCAACTAACATGAACTGACGGAAGATGAAATAGAAAATCTAGATAGTCCTATGTATTGTAAAAAAAAAATAAGCATTATTTTTTTCAAGCACAGATGGTTTCATGTAAGGTAGAAATGATAGCAATCTTACACAGACTTCCAACAAATGCACTTTAAAGTAACATCTTCTAACTCATGTCTAAAGCCAATATACCCTAGACACCAATACAGTCAAGAAAGGAATATTCCAGACTCACCTCTTTCATGGTCACTCAACTCCTCAGTGGCTCTGTTATTCATTTGGAAAATGGAGTTAGCAGTAGTCACCTTCCTAGATAAACACAAAAATCCTTGCTCATATACAGGCAAGCAGAAAGAATGCATGCAGGTAGTCAAGTTAAAGATTTTTCCCTCAATGGGCTGGGAAGGTGGCTCAGTGGTAGGGTGCTTGTCTTGCATGCATGAGGCCCTGGGTCCGATTCCTCAGCATCATATAAACAGAAAAAGCCAGAAGTGGTGCTGTGGTTCAAATGGTGAGGGTCAGTGCCCAGGCCCAAAGTTCAAACCCCATGACCACAAAAAAAAAAAAAAGAAAAAGATTTTTCCCTTAAGATGAGAAGCTTAAAATTAATTATTTAAAATTATTACTTAAAAGTATTTTAAAAATTTAATTATTACCCCGGGCCTGGTGTTTCACACCTGTAATGCCAGCACCTTGAAGGCTGAGACAGGAGGAGGGAGAGTTCAAGACCAGGAAGTGGCGCTGTGGCTCAAGTGGTAGAGCACTAGCCTTGAGCAAAAGAAGCTCAGGAATAGCACCTAGGCTCTGAGTCCAAGCTCCAGGACAGACACCAAAAATTTGTTGTTGTTGTTTGGGGTTTTGTTTGTTTTGGGTCATGGGGCTTGAACTCAGGGCCCAGGCACTGTCCCTCAGCTCTTCAGCTCAAGGCTAGCACTCTACCACTTGAGCCACAGATAAGAGTCTCACAGACTTTTCCTGCCCACACTGGCTTTGAGCCGTGATCCTCAGATTTCAGCCTCCTAAGAGGCTAGGATGACAGGCATGAGCCACCAGTGCCCAGCAAAAAAAAAAAAAAAATTAAATTCAAGGCCTGCTGATGCCAGTTACTCAGACTTATAATCTATATAGTTTTTTTTTTTTCTTGTCGTTCGTGGGGCTTGAACTCTGGGCCTGGGCGTTGTCCCTCAGCTCTTCAACTCAAGGCGAGTGCTCTACCACTTGAGCCACAGCGCCACTCAGACGTATAATCTAATTCCATCAACACACACTAAGTTCAAGGCCAGCCAGAGTCATTTAGTGAGATGGTTTCCAAACAGACCATTAATTATTATCATTGACCTTATGTATAGAACAAAGGGTCAGAGCCAGACCTTGTACTAATGAAAGCCGGCCAATGAGGTCACCTGGTTGGCCATGGAATGAGAAGAAGGTCTGTGAGGACAGAATTGGGGTGTCTGTCCAGCAGCTGGCCCAGGCCTGCAACCTTGGGGTGACCAGCAGATACAATGCATCCTGATGGACCGTCCTCAGAGCCTGCTCTGCCTCCCCCCTTCCAGCTGAGCCTGGCAGGCTCTGCCATCCTCTGCCTTGTGGGGAGAAAGAAGATTCCATTCCTGGAGCACTGAAGTTCGTGGACTGAGACTTTCACACACACACACACACACACACACCGGCCCCAGGTGCCCCAACGCTCAGCTGTCATGGCCGCCATTTCCTCCTCTGTAAAATGGGTGCATACGTGAGTAGATCTGGGCATCTTGAAGCTCCCGCCCAACAGGCACTGGTAAGGATTCCACTGGGCCTTGGATGACCGGCGACTTGCACACAGTACACAGAAGCTTCAAAGTATGCCATGTCCTGCCCTGCCCACACGACAGATGACGTTTTTGTTGTTGTTGTTGGTCGTGGGGCTTGAACTCTGGGCCTGGGCGCTGTCCCTCAGCTCTTCAGCTCAAGGCTAGTGCTCTACCACTTGAGTCACAGCGCCAATTGCAGTTTTCTAGTGGTTTATTGGAGATAAGAGTCTCCTGGACTTTCCTGCCCGGGCTGGCTTTGAATCGCAATCCTCAGATCTCAGCCTCCTGAGTAGCTAGGATGACAGTGTGAGCCACTGGCTACTCAGGAGGCTGAGATCTGAGATCTGTTCCCCTCGTTTCTCTTGGTTGCTGGCCAGGTGCAGTGGTGACCTCATTTCATCTATAAACCCCAGGGCCTGCCAACCCGGTGACCCCAGTGTGGCCCAATCACACTTCCCAGGCCAAAGCAAAGCACAGGACCAGCCCTGATCTCCACCAGGTAGGACGGGGCCATCTGCCCACAGGAAGAGGCGAATGGCTAGGAATGACATGTGATCCGCTCCTGCACCCCCACGTCCCACCTCCCACCAACTGACTCCCAGCAAAGCAGAATACACAAACCAAATCACCACCTTCTGGCTCCACCTTTCACCCTTCCAATGAAATCCTCACTCCTCCAGGTCTAGTGCGGCCTCCCCACACCACATCTCCTGCGTTCACACCTGTGTCTTCACTGGGCTTGTTAATATGTCAGCTGTTTCCTACCACAGGGCCTTTGCCCATGCTATTGGTGTGCAGGCCCAGGTCAGTGTGCCCCGACCCCCTGCTTTAAGAGCCCAGCTTAAATGTTACAACCGAGCAGTTTCCTTAACCACCTGCTTAGGCTCTCAACATTTCTCATAGCAGAACCAAGCTGCTGAGGTGGGCCTGCAGGCCCCATCAGACCTGCATGGAGGTCAGCCAATGGCAGGAACAGGTGGGAAAGCCCCGAGGCAGCGCCGTGGTCTGCCCGGCCCCCAGGGCCCCTAGGCCTCACTGCAGGCCGTGTGCATGTGGGCAGTCTCTCCCGGCGGGCAGACCAGGGGATGCAGGTCCTTAGCCCTCATGGCTGCTGCTCACAGCCCGAAGAAGCAGGGGCCGAGCCCGGCCGTCCTGATACCTGACCCTCAGAGGCCCAGTCCTCCAGCCCTGAGCAGGGGAGGAAGCTGCTCTCCTGGCAAAGGCCTCAGAGGCTGTGGTGATGAGAAGATGGCTCTGGGTTGGTTCGTGGGACCCTGTGAGCTCAGTGAGAGGGAAGGGCGTGTGCGTGCGTGCGTGCGTGCTGTAGATAGCAGGCGTGCAATGAAGACGGAGCGAGATCTGGGGTGTGTGCAGGAGGCGGGGAGCCTGGGGGGACGGTGGGAGAGGGTGGGAAGCAGAATGTGGATGTCCCCATGCTGGGAGGGTCCCCAGCCCAGGCCAGCCACCTCCCTTCCACAGGCAAATGCCACACCACAGGGAGTGGGGTCAGCCAGCTGGTGGCCCAGCAGCAACAGCAATGGCCCTGCCAGACCCTCAGTGCGCATGCCTCTGGCCAGCCGGGCCGGCCGAGGGGACCCTCCCCTGGGGGCCTGCGGTGCCTGGGCAGAGCCCCCTCCCCCCGTGGGGCAGGGGGGTGGGGTGTGGAGCATGATCAGGGCCCCGGAGGATCATGGGGGCTCAGAGCTCTGGGCTCCGGCCCTTCGCTCAGCTCACCTGTGACTTTGAGCAGGACTTGTCTCATGGAGCCTCAGTTTCCCCATCTAGGGGATCTGCAGGGGTTCTCAGGCTACCCCCTCCCTGGTCCCCCTCCCCGCCATCCTCATTCCAGCTTGGACCCCTGGCTTCCCAGCAAACCCAGCGCTCCTGGCTCCGGCCCAGACCACCACTGGCCCAGCCCGTGGCCTGGGGCTCGGCCGTGGCCAGCATGGCCCCACTCCTGACCTCCGCCTAGCCCCACTCCCTTACCTGCCAGTGCCACGGAGCTTCCAGACTATTCTCTGGGGTCCTAAGGTCAGAGATGAGGGTTTCTCAGCCTGGATAAAGGGAGCTCACGTTAATCCACACCAAAGGAATCTGGCTTCAAAGCCTGAGGCTCTCCTGCCCCAGGCCCCACACCCCACACCCCACGCCCTCCCCCAGCTGGCACCCACCCTCCAGATCACGTGCCCCGCAGGCTGCCCAGCCTTGACCCAAGGCCGCAGGAGCCTCCAAGCTTCTCCAGGCTCAACATCTTGGTTTCCAGCTCCTCCCAAACCACCCAGATCTCATCCCATAGCGAAAGGGACAAAGTCCTTCCAGATACAGAAGCCACCCTGCCCAGAGAGGGCCTGTAATTGCCTAGAGGTCACACAGCAAAGGCATGGCTCCCCCAAATCCACTATCTTCACCTCCAAACCCTCCCCAACAGCCCTACCGCTGCCTGAAGGACAAGGGGAGCAGCCAGGCCCAGCTGACCGCCGCCCCAAACCACAGCGAGGGTATTTTTTTTTTCCTGGAGTGAGCTCCGCCCTCCACGAGCCAGATTTAGCTGTTTAATGCAGGGGGTGCGGGGGGCCTCTGAGATGAGCTCTGGAGCGGACAGAGAGGCCGCCGCGTTGAACGCCTGCCCAGAGACACTCAGCTTAAAACACCGGGAACCAGAAAAACATAAAAATAAAAACTAACCATCGACCACATTTAATGGAGCTGTCCATTACGCGGCCCGGCCCGCCCCGGGAGCCCGGCCACGTGGCCGCCTGACCACAGCATTAGGGCGACATTCACCCACAGACCAGGCTTGGGGGAGGAGACCCTCCATCACAGGTCTGGGGCCCAGTCACCCCTAGGATCCCGGACCGCGCCGGCCAGGCCCCGTGTCACACCAGGATTGCCTATGGGACCTCTGTGGCAGAATCGCAGGGCGTGGGGGTGGGGGGGCCTGGGATCCGGGCTGCCTACAACCCCCCCACACACACACACACACACTTGACAGTTAAGCACCCACAGCATTGTCTCCAGGAAACAGGAGAGGAGGCTCAGAACCACACTAGTGGGCTGGGAAGGTGGCTCAGTGGTAGAGTGCTGGCCTCACAGGCATGAGGCCCTGGGTTCGATTCCTCAGCACCACATAAGCAGAAAAAGCTGGAAATGGCACTGTGGCTTAATTGCCTTTGGCTGAAGACACAGCGCGCAGGCCCGGAGTTCTGAGAAGTTCTGAGAAATTCTGCAACTGAGCCCGGTTTTTCTGTCCATCACTTCCCAGACTTAGTTGATGGTGTGACTTTTCTCCTTATCTTGTAATCCCAGCACTCCAGAGCCTGAGTCTGGATTCTAAACTTGAGAGCAACCTAGGCTACGACCCTGCCTCAAAAAAAATAAATCCAAAAACACAACCCAAAGAATTGATAATAATACAATAAAACGGTTCTACAATTTAAAAAAAAACAGTTTAGAAAAAGAACCGGCTTCTGGTTTATTCAAATTACTCTACGTATTGAATATCTATCATAAGCCAGGGCCTGGTGTAGATGTGTGTTATGCTCCTAAAGCATGTAGATCGATGTGAGCCAGCCTGTTTCCAAACGAGGGAACAAGCTCAGAGAGGTGCATGCCTTGTCCAAGGCTGCACAGCAAACGGGCAGAGGCCATGGTTTGAAGGGTGGTATCTGGGGGAGGGAGGGCACGTGGGGCAGAGCCTCAGTTTTCTCATCTAAGAAATGGGAGAGAGAGGCACAGGGTGGTTATGGGGTCTGTGTCCTGGTGGTATGACTGGCGTCTGCTTTCAAGAGAGAGAAACTGAGGCCCAGAGCAGGATGGGTGACCAAGACCAACCTTCTGTCCTGTGCTGGTTCGAGGCTGGCTGGTGGCCGGGCGCTGTGTGCCCTCTCCTCAGGCCAGGCAGAGGGGCCCAGGCCCTCCAGTGCCGGAACCTTCCCCTCCCCTCCCCCGGCTCCTCCTCTGACCTGCACCTGCACCCTGCCCTTCTCCAGCATGCACGGCCCGTGAGGCTGACCCGCGTGGGTGCACCCTGGCTTTGTGGGCCCCAGGGGTGTTCCGGGGACTGAGGCAAGCTGGAGGAGCAGCTCATGTAGCTGGCGCTTGAGAACCGCGTCCTTCCGGTCAATGAAGCTCTGGGGCCCAGAGAGGGAAGGCAAGTTGCCCAAGGTTGCACAGTGGGCAGGGGTGGATTCCTAAGCCCCGGAGTAGGTAGGGCTGGAGGCTGAGCAGCAGCCATGCTCCAGGCTCACTCCGGGCTCCAGGCTTGCTCCAGACTCCTCACAAGGGTCAGTTTCTGGAGCCCCTGACAGCCTCCTGTCAGATTCAGTACCAACACTTCCTGCTCCTGACTCAGAGCTCATTAATATGCTTCAGATTCTCTGAAGTCTCGGATGAGCTAGACCTCCTGTGCCTCAGTTTCCTCTTCTGTGATGGGAGACAATCACCCCACCAGCCTGCTTGATTCTGTGAGGTCCAGAGAATTGATCCCTACAAAGTCCCAAATCTTGCCCCCTCCCCCTTTACATAAACCCGGACCTGGGGAGACACCAGCGGGGGACCCTGCCAGGCCTGCAGGAGGAGCAGCCTCTCTGCTGGCCAACCTGGGGTCCAGCCCCAGTGGGAAGTGCAGGGGCAGCTCCCTGGTCCCTCCCTTACCAGGGACGCCTCCAGTCACAGCCTAGCAGCTTCTAGAAAGCCCCACAGCCTAGAGTTCAGGTTTGGGGCCAGGGCCCAGGATCTGTGACTCAAGACATGGATGCATTGCGCCTGCAGGCACTCACTTATTGAGCTCCTGCTGTATACACGCCCTGCGCGGAGCAGTGGAGGAGCTCAGGGGAGGGTGCGTGGTGACGCCATGTTGAGAGCAGGCGGGAGCCGCCGATGGCCGCCGATGGCTGGCTCCTCTCTTCTTTTACTCCATGAATAGCAGTTGGGCAACAAAGCCAAGCGCTGATCAGAACGGCTGAGACGGGGCGCTGGCGCTCACGCCTGTAACCCTAGCTACTCAGGAGCCTGAGATCGGAGTGAGGATCCCGGCTCCAAGCCAGCTCAGGCAGGAAGGTCCTGAGACGCTCACCTCCAATTAAAGGATGGAAGTGGAGCTGTGGCTCGAGTGGTAGAGCGCCAGCCTTGAGTGGCAAAGAGAAGGGACAGCGCCCAGGCCCTGAGTTCAAGCCTCAGGACCAGCCCTAAACAGAAAAATGGAAGAGGCTGCTGGGGTGGCCTCCAGGCTGGGAGAACGGGAGAGGGAGAGAAGCAGGAGGGTGAGAGGGAGGGAGGGAGGCGGGGCCAGGCAGGGGTGTGGCCGCAGAGGTGCCCTTCCCCCTTCTCCAGGCTCGCAGCGGCCCTGGCAAGGCTGGGAACCCGGAGCCCTGGGTCCTATGCTTGCTCTTCCTTTTGGGGCCTCCGTTTCCCCAGCAGGATGACCAGCACTTCAGGGCCACAACCCTCCCTGACCCTCTGTCTCAGGGATAACGTTGACCTTTCCAGCTGCGTGCCCCAGAGCACCCCCTACCTCCCCCTCCTGGAAGGATCTTCCAATTGGGGCCGTTCTAAAAGCCCCTCCACCCCCCCCCCCCCGGGGAGGGCAGCAGGGTCCCCCGTGGGGACTCTCCTGTCCCCAGGCCGGGTCTGCACGCTCATTCCGCCAGAGGCCCGACCCTCGCGCGCTCTTATTTCAGACATGACCTTTGATTTCTCGGGGAGAGTGTAAATTACATGTCGCCAGCATAAAATATTAAACCCAATTTATACTTAATTATTCATGCTATTATGTATTCCATAGTAATGGCATCAGAAATCGCAGGCCCGGTCCGTGCCCAGTAAGTGGCTTTCTGCATTAGCAGTTCCTTGAGGTACAAAATAACCTGGGTGATTGATGATTATGGAGAACTTTGAAAATAGTCTTCCAGAAATATTTCTCTGGTCGTGCGCAGCTCCGAAGGAAGGGGAGGGTGTGCTAATTATCGGGGTGGCGGGGGGGGGGCGGATGCAGCTCTCCCCCCCCTTCTCCCACACCCCATACACACACCCTGGAGAGCAGGTGGGTTGGGGGCTGGCAAGATGGGGGCCGTTTAAGCAAAACCGCGCTGAGTGGCTTTGAGGAGATCAGAGGACCACAGCGGTTTGCTGAAGGTTTTAAGTCACATGTAATCTGCACCGAGACATTGGGGTTGGGGTTTTGATTGAAACATTAATAATTCCGGCTTCTCGTAAAATATTCATGGTTCCTGTTGTTGCCTGCAAACCCGCGGCTCGGCCACCGCTTTTAATTTCCAGCTCAGCCCTCGCAGGCCTCGCCCGGCGACCACCCATGGCTCCCCGTACAATTTATTAAGTGGAGGTAGCGGTGGCCATTGGGTGGTCAGAAAAATCGAGCTCAGGGTTTCGATGTAGCCACTGGTCGTGAGCCAGGAAGGCCCCCGGTGGCCAGGGCGGCCGCTGGGCAGGAGAAAGGAGCGCTTGGCAAGCAAGCATCCTGCCAAGTCCTGTGGCCATCTGAGTCACTGTGTGGCTGGACGCAGGGAAGGCAGGGGCTGAAGGGCCGGGAGGCAGGAAGCCGCCTGGTGAGGCACAGGCCAGGCTGGGAGCAGTGCGGCTCTGCGGGGAGGATCAGGGTTCTACTCTACTCCACCTCCAGCCAGCGGTGTGACCTGGCCTGGCTGAGCTCCTCCTCATTTTTAGACTCAGAGTTTCCTCTGCTTTGGACTAAGTCAGACACCAGCGGCTCAGGCCTGTCATCCGAGCTCCTCAGGAGGCTGAGATCTGAGGATCGCTGTTCAAAGCCAGCCTGGGCAGACAAGTCCATGAAACTTCATCTTCAAATAAACAGCAAAAAGCTGGGTAGGCAGAGCTGGGCACCAGTGACTCATGCCTATAATCCTAGCTACTCTGGAGGCTGAGATCTGAGGATTGTGGTTTGAAGCCAGGCCAGGCAGAAAAGATTGTGAGAGTCTTATCTCCAATTAACCACCAAAATGCTGAAATCAGAACTGTGGCTCAAGTGATAAAGTGCCAGTCTTGAGATAGGACAGTGCCCAGGCCAAGCTCAGGCCCAATTACAAGCATTAAAAAATAATAATAATAAACTAGAATTTTCAAAAGCTGGGTGCTGGTGGCCCACGCCTGTCATCCTAGCTACTCAGGAGGCTGAGCTCTGAGGATCACAGTTCAAAGCCAGCCCGGGCAGGAAAGTCTGTGAGACTCTTATCTCCAATTAACCAGAAAACCAGAAGCAGCGCTGTGGCTCAAAGTGGTAGAATGCTAGCCTGGAACAAAGCTCGGGGACAGAGCCAAGGCCCTGAGTTCAAACCCCACAACTCTCTCTCTCTCTCTCTCTCTCTCTCTCTCTCACACACACACACACACACACACACACACACACACACAGTCCCTCCTGGGCAGGGGGCAGCAGAGACAGCACCACAGGGCTGTGCTGTGTCCCTCCAGGACCCATGGGGTCAGAGAGATGTGGAAGAATCCACTCAGCCCACCTCTGAAATCCAGATCCTTCTAAACCACAGGCCTGGGATCACACAGACAGGAACTCACCGTGGAGCCAAACACAACTCGGTGCCATCCCAAACCCTATCCCTCCACATGGACGCCCCCCCCAGGGCTTCCCGAGGTGCTGCTGACAACCGTGTGCCTGGCAGGGAGGGGCCAAGTAGAACCCCACACTGTCAGCCCTGGAAGCAACCTTAGTTGGTTTCCAGTGCTCTATAGCTTTCTATGTAAGGAAACAGAGGCCCAGAGAGGTGAAGCAACTCACCTGATGTTGCACAGACACAAGCAGAACAACCCCTTAAAGAGCCTACAGATTCCCGGGTTGGGGGGAGGGGGGGGGGAACAAGGTTGGGAGGGCTTAGTGGGCCTTTCAGGAATGACCACAAGGCTGCACACAGCTGGATGGGAGAGCCTTCACTGGCTCTAGGCCAAGGGGCCAGACACACACGTGCACACACGTGTATGCAAATGCACACTTGCAAGCATGCACACACATGCATGCAATGTACCCACGCATGCACGCACACACACAAGGTTCTGTTACCAAGGAAGGGGAAGGCAAGCAGCTGTCTCAGATACCGACGGGCTCCGCTTTGAGGAAGTGAAAGTCAGTTTCCCCCAAGTCTGTCTACCTGTGTGTCCGCCAGAATAAGACCTCAGCTGTGCCTCGCTTTCTAAATTCCAAATTCTAAGTTTCCCAGGATTGCCCTCCCAAGTCCTGGCCTGGCATGGCCTGCCTGAGCCTCGGCCGGGCGGGGGGGGGGGGGGGGGGAGGGAGTGGGGGATCCATCCAGCCATAGGAGGGGAGCCAGGCCAGAGGAGGTCCCAGCAGCAGGGACAAGAGGCCCAGTGGATGGAGTGAGCAGCGTGAGAGGAAGAGGGTGGAGTTCACACAAGGAAAGTGAACTGGGATGGAGGAGCACCCCGGTTCAGAAAGAGGGGGCTCTCGTGACCAGGCCTGCCACTGAGCTGACCAGTGGTAGCAGGGCGTCATGTGGCAGGGCCACCCATTCAAGGCACAAAACATGAAGCCAGCTTGTCAAGACTTTGTGCCCAGCCGTCAGGGCTGTGAGCTGCTGCGGTCCATTCTGGAATGTTCCAGCAGCATAAGGCTGTGCCTCCTGGTTGGTCAGTGGTTTCCCAGAACCTAATGATTCCAAACAACAACAGACACAGAAGCACCCCCCCACGCCTGCGGCCAGCTTTCTAACAGCTCCGGGTCCCCATTCTCTGGGACCTGGGGGTCCCCACTCCTCGGGGGCTGCATGGCTGCTGGAGTGCCCTGGCTTGCAGGTCTGACTCCATGTTGAAGACCCCAGGCACCCACCTCGTGATCTCTGGTGGCCATTTCTCCTTAACCGTATTTGGTCTGCAAGTTTCCAAGGAGCCATGTAGAGAAAACCAGTGTGGTTTGAGTAAAGCCCCAACGGGGGTAGAGACGCTGCCAGAGAACCTCCTTCTTCCTCTGAGGTCTGGGCCGCCATCTCAGCCAGAACAGCCTGGGGACAGCTCCCTCCCATCCGCCCCTGCTTACACCCGCCCCACCAGCCACAATGCTGGGACCAGGAGGGCAGCCTAGCGCCCCCCCCTCCCCCGCCCCGCCTTAGAGACTGTACAGAGCGGGGAAGAGGTCCACGTGCAAACGCAGCTAGGAACGGCAGGAAACAGACCAGAGAGATGGGGGGGGGGGAAGGCCTCAGAGAGCAAGACATCCTGAGAGGTTGTTGTATCTAAAAGGGGGCGAAAGAGCCAAGAAAGGGTCTGAAATACCAAGGTCCATTTCAAGCAGCTCACTTACCCTAAGCACCACCCTGCCACTTAGCTGTACAATCCCCAAGATTGCTCTGAGCTGAGGCTAGCACATGTGGATGGACAGGAGCAGGCCAGGGGCATCCTCTCTGTCCACTCGAGGGCCCCGTGGGGTGGAACCATAACTGTATTTGTGGAGAATATCCGAAGTGAACAGTGCTGGGCGCCGGTGGCTCAGACTTGTGATCCTAGCCACTCAGGAGGCTGAGATTGGAGGATCACAGCTCAAAGTCAGCCCAAGAAGAAAAGGCAACAAGATTCTTCCATTAACCACCAAAAAGCCAGATGTGGAGGTGTTGCTCAAGTGGTAGAGTGCTAGCCTTGAGAGAAAAAAAAGAAAAAGAAGAAGAAAAAATGGTCAGTTACAGCACCCAGGCCCTGAGTTCAAAACCCAGGACCAGCACGTGCGCGTGCGTGCGCACACACACACACACACACACACACACACACACACACAGCAAGCTCCACCCACAGGGATTCTGTCCCCTGGGAACACCTGGCAGCATCTGCCTGACTGTCATGGCTGTGGGGCAAGCAGTCTGCAGAGACCCGAATCCTGATTTAACAAAATAATGTGGCCATTAGGCCACGTGAATTCTTTGTTGGTCACCAACAATCATGTGCCAACGCCAGACCAACTACTTCCTCCCTCCTGAGATCCCTGGCCATTCAGTTGGCGCCCTCTGCTGCCCATCAGCCTCTACTGCAAGAGCCTTCCCTCCCTAGCCCTGAGGAAGTAGGCCCGTGAAGACCTGGCCACCATGTCAGGAGGAGCTAGACTTTCTCCTGCTGGGAAACTTCTGGGGAACTTTGTCATCCCAGCTAGACAGGAAGTAGGAGTAGGAGGATAACAGTTCAAGTCAACCAGGCAAAAATGCTAGAAGGCATCTCAAAGGTAACTAACACAGAAAGGGCTGGGGGCGTGGCTTAAGTAGCAGAACACCTGCCTGGCAAGTTAGAGGCCATAAGTTGAATTCCTAGTACAAAGAAAGAAAGAGAAAGAAGGAGGGAGGGAGGGGGGGAGAGAAGAGGGAAAAAGGAAGGAAAGAAAGAAGAAAGAGAGGGAAGGAGGAAAGGGAGGGACGGGGAGGGCAAGAGGGAGGGGCTGTTGATCTCATTCTGTGGCTGTCCCCCACACCTGTACACCTGCACCCCATCTCTGTCGCGTGAGCGCCAGAGGGGAGCTCCAGACACACGTTTACACGCAGTAAACGTGTGTCCATTGAGCGAATAGATCAGAGACTGAAAAAAGAGATAGGAGGAGTCCTAGACAGGGCATTGGGGTCCAAGAACCCAGATAGGCACGGCAGCTGGGTGATGTTGGCAAGTCACAGCCTCTCTGAGCCTTGGATTCTTGGTTCTAAGGGCAGCCCCTGCATGCAGCTCAGTCCCTCACACTGCTGAGGCGAGGAGGAAGCCGGCTCCTCCCCGCCCCCCCCCCCCAGGCCACTTCGAGGAGAGAAGCGGCAGCTTTAGGTGTCACAGGCCTCCTCCCCCACCCCCCTGCAGAATAAGTGCAGCTAGGCCGCCCCGTTCCTAGGAGGCTGCGGCCCAGCCACTGCCCACATCTGCTTGTTTGATCCAGGAACGGAGAGGAAGTCAGGGACAGGCTCCAGCTGGAGCCCGCGCTGCCTGGCATCCGTGAGCTCCAGATGCAGGGCACGCCGCCACGGTGGCCCAGCTTGGGAACACGTGGCTGAGGGCTGGGACAAGCCGATCTCACCACAGCCTGGAAGGTCTGAGAAGGGCCCTGCGGCTCAGGCCAGGGGCCTGGGGAGCATGGCCTCTAGATGCTGAACCCAGAAATGGGGCCAGAACCAGAGCCTGGAGGGGACTCGTGGGGCGTGGGGGAAGCTCAGGTGGGGCTTTGGCCATGAGGCCTGGGAGTCGCAGTCTCAGCCAGCTGCTCTCCACCCATGGGAAAGCGGGTGTGCAAAGGAACCAGGCGGGCCGTGGGCTTCCTCCGTGACTGAGGCTTGCAAAAGCACGCTGTTCCAGATGATTCCATAAAGACATGGCATCCAAACGGCAAGTCACCCAGTTACTAACTCATGCTAGGGTGTCAATGACTAGGGGGTGGATTCACTAAGCTTTAGCTGAGTGTGTTCCAACACACTGTCCCCACAAAGCTGTATGGAATGGAAAGTACATTTTAGGAGAGTGTGTGTGTGTATGTGTGTGTGTGTGTGTGTGTGTGTGTGTGTACTGAGAGAAGGACAGCTGTTATCTGACATCTTCCAAATGTCCCAAGAGGCCCTCAGCGCAGGCAGACACAACCCCGAGGTGCCCAAGTCCCTGGGGTGCAGCACAGGTCCAGCCCCGGCTCCCCTTCCTAGCCATGAAATCGCCTCCAGAGCTAGCCCACGCCTTGCCTGCGTGGCTGCCCCATTTCTCTCTGCACAGTCCCAGGCCTTCACAGAGAACAGACAGAGCAGGAAGGCCTGCCCTCCCCTTCCTCCTGACACCCCATCTTCAGGAAGGTAGGACTGACTACCAGCCTGGGCCTGCACTGCCAGCTCCAGCCATCCCGCAGATGGCCGTGGGGGGGGGGGGGGGGGAGGCAGGCTGGAGCTGCCCCCCACCTGAGCCCTCCCCCAGAGTGTCTGGGATGAGAGAGAGGGTCCTGAGGGAGTAGAAGCCCCTAGCCTGGGGTGGGCACCCTTGGCCCAGGACTCATCTCCCCACTGGGAGAAGCAGGGACCCTCTGAAGTGCACAGCCCGGAGTGGGAGGTAGGAGGGGTGGCTCAGGTGTCATCTGCCTCTCTCTGACTTCCCTCCACACCAGTCTTTTCTCTAGCCCAGCAGCCAAAACAAGCTGCCTAAAATCCAACCGACCAAGTCACCCCCACTCCCTTTGAGCCCTTCAGCCCCTCCTTGTTGCAATAAGAATTGAATCCAAGCTACTCCACGGTGCCCCTGAGTCCTCAGGCCCATCCCCACCCCTCTTCATCTTTGCTTCTTGTCATCACTCCAGCCACACTGGCCCTGATACACTACCCCTGGGCCTTTGCACATACTGACACCCCCCCCCCCATCCCCAGCTGGAGGCCTAGTTCAGGCCTACTTCAGTGCAGTTCACCCCACTGCACTCCATGACCCTCGTTTTGTGCCCCTAGGATCGCCTCTGCTCAGAAGCCTTTCTGATTTCCCAGGCAGTGCATCCTCTCTCCCAGGCCCGGGCTCTCTGGTTCCCTAGCCTCTGTCTCCACTGTAGCCCTGGGCTTGTGTGACGCTGCGATTACCGATTACCGTCTCTGTTTCTGCTAGCTGGGGGGCTGTGAACAGGCGGAGACCTGTTTCGCACTTAACAGCCACAGCTATTGTTTTTTTAACAGGGGTGACCAAGATGAAAGCATGGTGTTAAATAACAGCCCTGAGACGTAGAAGATGCTGCCATCACTTCATCTGCAGATGAAGAACCGAGGCCCTGAGAGTTCAGACACCTGATGTCATTTTAATTCCAAAACCAAACCGACACAGCGCAGCCTGCCTGGCAGCCAGAGGCTGTCCCAGCAGGGCCCCGCCCACACGCGCTCCAGGCCCCGCCCACACGCGCTCCGGGCCCCGCCCACACGCGCTCCAGGCCCCGCCCACACGCGCTCCGGGCCCCGCCCACAAACACAGCACTTGGCCCCGCCCACATGCATCGCTGGGCCGCCCCCACAGGCTCTGCTCACACACTCCTGCAGGCCACGCCCACACGTCGTCCAGACCACGCCCACAGCGCCTCCAGGCTCCACCCACAATGCTCTGTATTTTCAAAGGGACCAAACGCCCCCTGAGCCCCACATCAGAATGAGGACAGATGTGGTCTGCTTGTTGGAGTTAGAATGTTGGCTTCCAGCTTTCACTTCCTTGTACGTTCCAATTTCTCTCTACCAAACAAGGATTCGTTGATGCTTTTAAATTAAGAAAGGAAAACTGGGGATCGTTTTAACTTTTGAAAAAAAAGAATGAACAAAACCAAAGCATCCATAGAAGTGGCCTGCCATTCCTTTCATTCCTGCAAAACCCGCCCCAGGAGAGCCCGCAGCGGGAACCCAGACCCTGCCTTCAAGCTGACCACACGCTGACTCTTGGCTCTGTGTGTGGCCTTGGGCTGGTGACTTTACCTCTCCTATCTGAGGGGCCCGCCCTGCAAAACAGGACCCTACTGTCTCCCTTCCTGGCTGCTGTGAAGACTGGGCAGAAGGGACATAAATGACCCAGGCTGGGTTTGGCACATAATAATCAGTCAATAAATGGCAGCCGTCAGCTCAACCCTCATGAGCAGACAGGGGCACCTCCCAGGAGCATGGTCCCCACGCCAGTAACCACCACATCCATGGAGCCACTGGGAAGCTCCATTCCCACCCTCTGGCCCCAGTAGGGTCTGTTCTCTGCACTCACGGCTGAGCCAGCCGGCCAAGAACATTGTGCCACCTGAGGTGACCCCAGGACAAGCCATCACTGAGCTGTCTCATGCCTGTGGGCACCCCCTGGGGGGTGGAGGGCCTGTCCCCCCCCCCCCCCCATGCCACATCCTCACCTTCCCCGGGGGTTTTAGAAGACACTTTCCCGTCCAGGTGGGAACCACATCGGCTTGTGATTGGGGATCCTGTGCGGGACTTGGTTTTGAGGCCGAG